CAGCAGGGAGAAATCTTTGTGTCCTGAAGGTGTTTCCTGGAAACTAACAGATCTGTAATTCTGGGAAGTTAGAGAAGTCTTAATAGAGAGGTTCAATCCAGAGAAACAAGGCCATGGAATTCCATAGAACAAATAGACCAGCAAGACCCCAAAGAGGTTTCCAGTATCTCTGATGGCAAAACATCCCTCTTCGCCAGAAGAGCCTCTCCAGGCAGATCTGTTTCCAAGAAGGAACTGGAGATTGGGAAGCAGAGAAGTGTTCTCTTCAGAAGAACTGATCTGCTTGGGGGGATAGCCGAGCAGGGACTATCATCATCACATGGCTACCCTCTCAGCAGATGGATGGAGCCTTGCTGAGCCCAGTAGGTAGGCTGGCTGTTTGGGGAAAGAAGAAAAATCAGGTAGGAGGAGAGGAAAGAGCAATGAGGGGGTGGGGAGGGGGGAGCAGAGGGAAAGGGTAAAGCTTGAAAAGTTCAAAGGCTTTGAACAAATACAAGACTTTATGACATCCCCATCTTTACTGTGCCGCTGCAGCCGAAAACAGAAGCAGCCAAGACCAATAACATTGTATCAGTGTCAGGTATATGATATAGTGATCGGATACATGTATATATTGCAAAATGGTCACCATAACAAATTAACATCTGTCCTTGCAATAATTACAACTTTTTTTTCATGCAGGAAGAACTTTGAAGACCTACCCTCTTAGCGACTCTCAAATATACACTATGGTATTGTTAACCCTAGTTACGGTGCCACACGGGACATCCCAGGACGTATTTGTCTTCTACCCGGAAGTTGGTACCTTTTGACCTCCTATGCTCATTTCCCGCACCCACCTCACCCCACCCGCCTCTGGCCACCACCAATCTGTTCTCTGTATCTGTGATTCCATTTTTTTTTAAAAAAAGATTCCACGTATAAATGAGATTATACAGTATTTGTCTTTTCTTGCCTGACTCCACTTTGCATAATACCCTCAGGGTCTGCTCATGCTGTCACACATGGCAGGACTGTTTATGGCCTAATTATTTTCCACTGTGTATATATATATGTTACCTTTTCCTTATCCATCTGCCAATAGACACTTAGGTTACTTCCACATCTTGGCCTTTGTAAATTATGCTGCAGTGAACATGAGGAGGGCATACATACCTTTTCAAGTTAATATTTTCCTTTCCGTTAGAGAAATACCCAGAAGTGGAATTGCTGGATCGAGAGTTCTATTTTCAATTCTTTGAGGTACCTGATACTGTTTTCCACAGTGGCTGCATGAATTTGGGCAACTTAAAAACATTTTTTTTAATGTTTATTTATTTTTGAGAGAACAAGAGAGAGACAGAGCATAAGAGTGGGAGTCCCAGAAAGAGAGGGACACACAGAATCTGAAACAGGCTCCAGGCTCCTGGCGCTCAGCACAGAGCCTGACACCAGGCTCGAACTCACGAACCGCAAGATCATGACCTGAAGTCGGGGATTTAACCAACTGAGCCACCCAGGCCCCCCCTGGGCAACTTGTTAAAACACTGCAGATTTGGGGCACCTGGATGGCTCAGTTGATTGAGCGTCTGACTCTTGATTTCAGCCCAGGTCATGATCTCATGGTTCCTGGGATCGAGCCCCACGTTGGGCTCCAGGCTGGCAGCATGAAGCCTACTTGGAATTCTCTCTCTCTCTCTCTCTCAAGATAAATAAATAAACATTTTTTAAAAGGATTGCAGATTTCTGGGTCTCATCCTGGCAGAGTCTGGGTTACCCCCCATGGGTAGGGACCGGGAATCTGTATTTAAATCTTCACAGCTGATTCTGAAGCCCAGTCAGGATTGCGAACTGCTGTTCTGTGTCTCTTTCATTCCTTCTCACTTGGCCTCAAGGCCTCAAGTGCTCTCTTCCTCTTCCACTCTTGGGTTACAATAATACCTTTTGACACACCAGCTGCGCGTGCTTATGAAAGAGCTTTTAATTCACTTTTAAAGAGTCCTGTGACCGGCTTTGCTGGTGGCGGAGAGCTCTCCCAAACACAAGTCAGCTTTGCCCTAACATGACCACAAACCGAACCCAGTCCCTCCCTGACCAGCCCCTGGCATGCCTTCCATTCTCCAGAACGTCTCCTTCCCGAGGGAGCTGGAGAAAAAGTGTGGGTGACTCAGGGCACATGTCCTTGTGCTGGTGGCCTGTTCAGAAGTAGGACAGGAGGCTATCACCTGACCATACATGAAGTGGCCATCCCTGTCCGTGGCTCACATTCTAGAGCAAGGCCAGACACAGGCAGAGCAGGACATCTGGTAGACCGCTCCCATGCTCCCGACCGTGCCTTCTTTCTCCAGACACATTTAAAGGCCACCAGAGAAATGGGACAGCAGGGACCAGGGGCACAGAGCCTGCCAGAATGGCCACAGAAGTGTCAGCCGGGGAGGTGAAGGGGGTTAGGAGGTACAAACTTGCGGTTATAAAGTAAGTAAGTTCTGAGGATGTAACATAAAGCCTAGGGAATATAGTCAATAATACATTTTTTTAATGTTTATTTTTGAGAGGGAGGAGGTGCAGAGAGAGAGGTGGACAGAGAATCTTTTTTTAAAATAAGTTTTACTTATTTTTTAAAGGTATTGTTTTTTACTTATATATTTTTAATGTTTATCTATTTTTGAGAGAGAGAGTGTGTGTGAGAGGCAGAGGGGCAGAGAGAGAAGGAGACAAAGAATCCGAAGCAGACTCCAGGCTCTAAGCTGTCAGCACAGAGCCCGATGTGGGGCTCAAACTCATGGATGCAAGATCATGACCTGAGTCAAAGTCAGACGCTTAACTGACTGAGCCACCCAGGCACCCCAGGGGACAGAGAATCTGAAGCAGGCTCCTCACTGTCAATGATGAGCCCTATGAGGGGCTCAAACCCATGAATCATGAGATCACGACCAGAGGCCAAGTTGGATACTTAAACGACTGAGACACCCAGACACCCCTACAGTCAGTAATAGTGTAATAACTTGGTATGGTGACAGATAGTAACTACATTTATTGTGGGGACCGTATCATAGTATATAAACATATCATATCACTCTGATGTGCACTTGAAAGTAACAGGATATTGAATGTTACTTCTGCTTCAATTAAAAAAAAGAAAAAGTCAGATGCCCTGGCCCCAGGGCAAGACCTGCTTCAGCTTCTCTGCCTTCCAGGTGGCTCAACATTTATTGAGCCTCTACTATGTGCCACGCATTGAGCTAAGTGCTTCCCGTGTGTTACTGCCTTATTTGGGCCTCACAATCAACTCACGAAATAGATAGTTCTATTATGCCCATTTTACAGATGTGGAAAGTGAGGCCAGATTCCACACCTACCTTGTGGAAATTAACAAAGACCACCCAGATGAAGACAAACACATTATTCATTCAGAGCTTGCTACAGCAAGAGAGTCAGCCACTCTCACTGGTGTCTGGTACAGACTCACAGGCAGGTCAGGGAATGGGGGGGAGGGGGACTCAGAGTGGACAAACGGGAAGGCACAGGTGTGCTTTGGTCGCAGGTGGTTGGCGTGGAGAAGCGAACACCTTCTGCGACTGACTTGGGACTACATAGCTGGCTCTCTCTCTGGCAGGCCCTGAGCTGGAACAGGGCATGCCGGGGGTTGAATAGGACACTGGCAGTCTCTGACTGAGTCATGATCGTTCTGGGCTGGTTGCTGCAGAGGCCGTGGGTCAGACTTCTCTTGTGGTCTGGCCACTGTCCCTCGCCTCCCTGTCTCCCATCCCTGAAGGCTCCAGCTTTCATCCACCCCTACACATATGCTCTTCTTGCCAGAAGGGAACTTTAGTCACCCTCCGGATGCCAACCTCATGCTGAGGATGTCTGCAGGACCCCCTCCCCCCCACACACATAAGGTCCCCTCATTTGCACTGTTAGCATCACTCTTTCTTCTGCTTTGTAGTCGAGTTACAAGAACCTCAACAGCAGCTGCACACAGAACGTCTCCTGCCTTCGCATGCCTTCTGTGTGCCCTGCAGGCTCTCCACGCCTCAAGGCTTGTCTGGAACCGCCCCCACATGCAGAAAGAGCACCCCAGCGCACAACTGGCAACGACTGGCAGCTGGAGGGGCTGAGATTGGGGGCAGGGCTCACCCACTTCCCAGCTCTGATTGGTCTCCCCCTGGCGCTCCCTTAGGAGCCACCTTCCTTCCTTGTTCTGTTGCCTTGTGCTGCCTGCGCACTCTCTCGAGGTTACTTCCCGTACCTCGCATACATAATCATTGCACTCAGATCCTTGCTTCAGGGTCTGCTTCTGGGGAAAACCCAAGGGTAAAAGGGCTTATTATCCCCATTTTACAGATGAGGAAAACTGAGGCACAGCGACCGTGACATGTTTCATGCAGCTTATGAAGTAGGATTGCTACTAAACTCACACTGCTCTTGATTTGTGTGTGTGTGTGTGTGTGTGTGTGTGTGTTATTTTTCTCCCTAATCCTCTGAAGCCAGAGACCATCTTTTTCATTTCATAGCCTTGTCATGCCTACAACAGTTCCTTGTGCAATAATGTGTTCTGTTGAAATTTTTAAAAAATTTAATTGATTCCTGCTGTGCATGAATGCTTTTATTTTTTTATTTATTAAAAAAATTGTTTTAAGTTTATTTATTTTTGAGAGAGACAGAGTGTGAGTGGGGGAGGGGCAGAGAGAGAGGGAGACACAGAATCTGAAACAGGCTCCAGGCTCCGAGCCATCAGCGCAGAGCCCAATGCAGGGCTCAAACCCACGGACCGTGAGATCATGACCTGGGCTGAAGTCGGACACCCAACCGACTGAGCCACCCAGGCGCCCCTGAGTGATTTTATAAAGTGCATGACAGGACCCCCAAGAACAGGCTAAGACCACTCCTGGGATGCCCCGGGATCAGGCTGCCTTTATTCCCTCCGATGGGCAACTCTGAATCACCTCTGGGGCACACACCCCATTCTTCAGACCCCAACCCTGTCCCCACAGGAAGAGACCAGGCAAGGCACAATCACCTTCAAAGGAGATATCACGTTTTATTTGGATTGTTATTTGAGAAGCACAAGTGTGTCTGCACTCTTGACACACAGATCACACGGTATCTCATACATGGGGGGAGAAATCTGGAACCCTTCTCCTACCAGAGCCCCAACTCCATCCTCCCATTCCTAAAATATAGGGAAAGAACCAGCTTTAAAGGCAGAGCAGATCTTGATCCCAGAGAAGCATGGAGCAACCCATTCCGTAAAGCAGAACACCTCCCCCAAACCCTTTCTTCCCAAAGGAACGAAACTACCCGGGCTGGTGCCTTATCCTGTTCCTGCAGGTCACAGAAACCAGAGTCCCTGAAAACATCACTAATTACATCCCACGAGACGTGTGTGAAGAAGGCCAGGATCTGGCACTGCGAGCAGGAAAGGAGCCGTGTATATGGCTGGGTTTTTATTCACCCGGGATTCTGGAAGTGGGACAGGCTCAGGGCATCTGTAGAGTGATGAAGAGGCTCAGCTGTTGACAGGTCGCCCGTACCCAGACAGACACACAGACAGCCCGCCCACAGGTTCCTCTGCAAGACCAGATGACCCAAGAAGCCAGCTCTAGGCTAAGCTTTTAGACGGAAGCCGCGTTTGTCTGCAGGGGGGCTGGGGGCCGAGGCACCTGGGCTCTGACAGTGCCTGGAAGCGGGGAAGGGCCAGCCCTATTCCCCGGGGGAGGATGGATGGCTGCCACCACCTTCCTTCCAGCACCTTCTCCTCCAGCTCAGGGAGGGAAGGCAAGGGGCCCAGGATGCATGAGCTCTCCTGCTCTCACTGCTGGTGCACAGGCCCTGAGCTGAGGACCCAGCGGTGGTTAGATGGCCGTGCTGTTTGCAGGGCGCCTCTGCACGAGGGCTTTGATGCTCATCGCCCTGAGCCTCGAGGACACCTTCTTCTGCTTGGCGTCCAGGTTCTTCATGTACTTCTGGACCCAGTGCTCCTCGGGGTCGCCACAGAACTTCTGGCCCTTCTTGGTGGTGAAGCTGTGGGGAAGGGTGACAGGGTACACTTGAGACCTGGCCATGACCTTGGAACTCTCCACTGGATGAGGAGGTGGGTGTGGAGGCCCACAGAGGGCAGGCTGCTGCCCGGGGCCCCCCAGCAGTTGCTGACACAGTGTCTTCCCTCTGCGTGCCAGCAACTCTTCGCACTGAGTATTTGCGACCTCCCTGTCGGATGGGGGAGGCCCAGCCCTGCCTTTAGTCAGTGCTGGGATCTGAAGAGAGAGAGACACAATGTGTACCCACAGGGAGGAGAGGAAAGGAGAAAATACACAGAAAACCTCCTGGGAGGGGCGCCTGGGTGGCTCAGAGGGTTGGGCATCTGACTTCAGCTCAGGTCACGGTTCGTGAGTTCGAGCCTCGAGTCGGGCTCTGTGCTGTCAGCTCAGAGCCGCCTTTGGATCCTCTGTCCCGTCTCTCTGCCCCTCCCCCACTTGCACGCACATGCGCTCTCTCTCTGTCTCTCTCAAAATAAATAAACTTAAAAAAAAAAAAGGAAAAAAACCCCTCCAAGGGACAAAGGTAGATGCCTCCAGTTCACACATCATGCAAGGAAATGTGCCCAATTAAGATGCTGGAGCAAGGAGAGGCCATGGGATGTCCCCTTCCAAGCCAGCTCTGAGCCGGGGGGTAGGGCGGTACCAGGCTGGGGAACGGGCTCTGGTGCCAGTGGGCAAAATTACCGATAATACCCACGTCACAGTTCTACAGCAGGCCACGGTTATCAAGTATGTTCACGCTTGCTGCCTAGTGTGGGAGGCAGCTAGGAAGTTATTTGGAGTCCTAGCGACCTTGAGCAGGTCACCTTTCTGGGCCTCAGCTGCTCTCTGTGAAATGCGAATGGTCATATCTACTTCACAGAATGGTCCAGAGGGTTAGTTACAGTAATGGGACAAATAGCACCTAGTATGTATTTGGTGCTCAGGAAATGATTGTCGTCTCTGAGTCCTCTTCCTAATCTCGTGGGGGAGAAAGCTGAGGCTCAGGGAGGTCAGGTGGCTTCCGCAGGATCAGAGAGCCGGGTCCTCCCGACTTTACTCCCCAGCGACCCCAAATGAATGTTCAACTCCCCCTGCCCGCCTCCCGCGGGGGGTCAAGGGAGAGGGAGTGGTACTCACATCACACCTGCCTTGGGGCAGACGCTCCCACTAGACAGCTGGTAGCTAACCACTCGGCTCTCGGGAACTTTCTTGGAAATGAAGGACATGCAGCAGGAAGAGGGGATGGTCACGGAGCCTAAAAGACGGGCGAGAGAAGACCCACATTTTTTCCCAGCCTGCCTGAGACTCTGGGCTTCGGATCCAGCCCAGCCCCGGGGCCACAACTCCTCAGCATTCCTCTCCAAACCCTGTCCAGTCGGTCCTCCACCCCCCGCTGTGCTGTCCCAGCTATGCCACCATCCTGCCTGACAGCCCCGGGCTGAGGCTGGAGCTCTTACCTGTAGGGGCAATGTTGTGGGCACACAGGGCCAGGAGCAGGAAGCTAGCACCCATGGTCACAAGGCCTGCCATGGGCGGGAGAGGGAGTTCAGGACCTAAAGCTGGGGTGCAGGATCCTTTAAGATCATCCTGACCTCCCTCTGCCTTTTATAAGGGCAGCCGAGAGGAAACACCCACTAATAGAGCCTCCCCTCACCCCTTCCAGGCTTCCCTGAAAGTTCTTGAGGCCCATGAATTCTGCCAAGGGGAAGTTGTTGGGTAGCTGAGTCAGGGATTGTTTGGTGTATTCTAAGAAAAGGGCTGGGGGAGGAGAGCCCCACCTAAAGGGATTGCAGAAGCTTCGGGTGCATAGTTAGAAAGCTCATGAGAATCCTTGCTTGGTATTGCTTGCTGTTCACTCCTGTGGGATCCTGAATAAGGCACCTTTCTGAGCCTTAGTTTCTTCAGCTGAAAATGGGTAAAGCCATGCATCCTGCCACCTCCCATTTGTTCGTTCATTCATTCGCCAGCTCGTATTTGGCAGGTGCTATGTGCCAGGGTTCCGGTGGGGAGACAGATACATTTGCAGGTGTGTGCAATACATTATTACAGGTGCTGACCCAGTAGGCATGGGGCAGGGCAGATGCTCTCATTGTCCACATGTCCTTGGAGCCCTTTATCGTGTTCACACACACTGGCTTTTGGTGGCCTTGGATTTCTAGTGCCCAAGCTGCCAGAGCCACCTCACTGTAGACTCAAAGAAAGGGGAAGGACCCAGAACCTCATATCCTCTGGGCAGTACTTGACCAATGTCTGCTGGAGGATTACAGACTTCAGATACGGCATGACCTACCCCGCTTCCTGAGTTCCTGGCGCGGTCAAGCCAGCTTCCCTCTGTGTGGGAGGGCTCTGCTGACCCCCTTCCCTTCTAGGTCTGCATCCCCCTGCACTCCAGAAGTGGGTTGTGGGCAGAGTTGGTTTCCCCTGGAGGCATTGCCTGATGAACTACTTGCCCATGAATCTTCCTTTTAGGATCTGTTCTGAGGACCCCAATCTGAGACAAGGGATACAGGCAGGGGTGGGTGGGGAACATAGAAGGAACTGGCCATGGCCAGTTCTGCGGGAAGGGAAGTGGGGGATGCACTTGGAGTTGATGGCTGTGCTGAGGTATGGAGAATGGAAGAAAATGGTAACCATGGGTGGGGAAACTTTTACATCATGATGAGCAGTTCTGTTCTTAGAGATGGAGGTGACCTTGTCGGACAGAGGGAAACATGGCACTTGCCTCAGTCTGTCCTCCATTCCAGGACCCCAGGGTGGGACCCCATATTTAGACGCTTGTCCGTGCCACCTCCAGGCCCAATCCCGCTCCCCCAATTCTTTCCATTCCACTTCTCAAGGAAACATTCGGCTTTCTCTGGCCATCCAGGGCACCCAGCCACACCCTGGTCACCCAGATGATGGCCAGTTGTGAGTCTGTGTATGCCACGTGACCATGAACACCAAGATTAATGTCCAGTTTCCACACCTTCCAATTCCCAAGCAGAGCACCTATCCCACGGCCAGTGTTTGCAGAATGAATATGTGCTGGACCAATTCTGAGTCGCTCTCCTCTGGACCAGGGACTCCCACGTGGTCTCTGCCCCACGTGACTGGGGTCAGCGTGCACATGGGTGAGTCGGTAGGCAGGTCCTCTGATGGGAGCAAGACCAGCAGCACCCGGTCTCGTCACTGCCCTTCTTTATGGAGTGAAAAGTGCTGAGTGTCCCACTCAGCTCCTCACTAGCTTTGCACCTTCCTGTCATCAGCTGGCAGTGACAATCCTTATGTAACAGGATATGGGGAGCATTAAATGAGATGCTGTTATACATGCGGGGGCTTTTCGTGACTCCATCTTATGACATGCATTCTAATATTTGTTTCTCAACAATGCAGAGAGGACTTTATGACTAAGGGAGAGAGGGGTTGGAGAAGGAAAAGACCAGGCAGAAGCAGCAAGCAGGAGAAGACTGAGGACAGGGCTACACAGGGCAGGAAGCCTTTGCTGGCTGCGTGTTGCAGCCCAAGTGACCCGTAGGGTAGAGGGTCATTGGGTGGGAGGGTTTGGGGTAGGATGCTTCGCCCTGATCAGGAACATCCTTTAGAGGCTTCCCCAAGGCCCTTAAAAAAAAAAAAAAAAAGGAAGAAAACACCCTCTCTTGATGCTCTGAGTGGGGAAGTAGGTAAGGCAGATCCCCAATCCCATTTTACAAGGGCAAAATGGAAATCTACAAAGGGTAACTGACCAGACAACATCACAGAGCCACCTTTCCTGGCTCCCACAATGGGAACTTACACCCTTCCAGCTTGAAGGGGTGGGATCCAACAGACAGAGTGATCTTTAAAGTCAGAGACAAAGAAGGAGGTTCTAGGAAAGCAGAATAGAAAGGGGGGACGCAGGGGTGCCTGGGTGGCCAGCTCAGTTGGTTGAGGGTCTGACTTCGGCTCAGGTCATGATCTCACCATTCGTGGGTTCGAGTCCCACGTCGGGCTCTGTTTGACAGACAGCTCGGAACCTGGAGCCTGTTTCAGATTCTGTGTCTCCCTCTCTCTCTGACCCTCCCCTGCTCATGCTGTCTCTCTCTCAGAAATAAATAAAACATTAAAAAAATTTTTAAAAAGAAAGGGAGGACACAAATAGAAAGGGGGGGGTGATAAGGGGAAGGACAGGGGAGGAGGAGGGGAAGAGGAGGCCAAGACAGCAGGTACAGACCCAGTAGACTTGAGGAAAGGAGATGGACAAGAAAGAAAAGGAAGGGGGGCCCTGTGAAAGGTCCTGACCCCAGCTGAGCTCCAGCTCAGACCCTGCCCCTCCCTCACCCACTGTGGTCTCTCCATCTGAGAGGTGGGATGTGGTCAGAGCTGTGTTTCCCAAAGTGTGGCAGCCACATTACCATGTGATACAAAATGAGAATATTTCATTAAAAATTTTTTAATGTCTATTTATTTTTGAGACAGAGAGAGTGAGGGAGGGGCAGAGAGAGAGGGACACAGACTCTGAAACAGGCTCCAGGCTCTGAGCTGTCAGCACAGAGCCTGACGCAGGCCTTGAACACACAAACTATGAGATCATGACCTGAGCCGAAGTCAGATGCTCAACAGACTGAGCCACCCAGGTGCCCTGTGTATATTTCATTTTCAATGTAAATATCTCTTATGATGGTTACCCTCTGTGATAAGGCGTTTTATGTTTCTGGTAGTGATATACATTTTCCCAAAGTAAAACATATATATATGAGTTGACAATCAATCAATCAATCAATCAAGTGGGTAACAGGACAAATAGTGTACACATGTGACAAAAATTGTGACAATGATCCAGGGATAGCTGAAGCCAAGGTGTCCCCTAAGGGCCTCTCCCCTCCCTTGTGCACCTAGGGGGCAGGCCCTGAGAGGAGGGAGGAGAAGGTTGGAGGTCAGGTGGGCCTGGGAGGGGAGGACCCAGTGAGGAACACGGAGCTGTGCCTGGCAAGGGGCAGGGAGCAGTGGTCCCCCCACCCTTGCTGAACGGCAGCCAGGGCAGCTGTCCTAGTTGTGTCTCCCGCGTGAGCCACCCCAAGGGTGATGATGTAGCACCGAACCCAAAGCTGTGTGATGGGGGCCAATGGATAGGGGCTGAGGGGGCGAGGGGACTCCAAGACACATCCCAGTGAGAAACAACTGGAAGCAATGGGCTGCTAGCTTAGACAAGAAATGACTTCCAATGCTTGAAGACATGTCCCAGAAAGGGAGAACTGGCCTTGGTGGCCCAAAATAGTGCAAAAGTAGATGGAAGGCCAAGGGTTGTGAGGGTAGGGTGGGGTGGGGTGGGGTGGGCAGGAGGGTGGCAGATGAGCAGAGCACGGTGTTCCTGGGAAGTTGCTAGGCACTTCGGATCCTCCTCTCCATGAATCCACACTTTATCCCCAAGGTGACTGAGGCTTAGAGATCATGAAAGGGTAGAGCTGACATTTGGATTGTGTTCTGTCGGAACCCAGGGACTGCCTCTCACCCGGGAGCTCGGCCTTGATCCTGTGGGTAGTGGGGCCACCCATGGTTTTGACATGCAGAATTAAAGAGGCTTGGTCTGTGGTCTAGTGACATGACTGGATCCACCAGGAGGTGTGGTAGAAGAGACTGAGGCAGGGAGACTGGCTGGAGGTGGCTGGAGCTGTCCAGGGAAGGGACGATGAGGGACTGGGCCAGGGGTCAGGAGAGGTTGATTTGGTTCCACTTCACGTATTAGATCTACCTGAAGTGCCCAGAGGAGAAGGAGATACAGAATCTGGGGTACCCCCTGGTGCCCCTACAGGTTTTCTAAGACCCACATCTTGGAAGTCAGCCCAGAACCCACCTTTTTATGTCTCTTCCTAAACCCAGTAGCCACAGCCCAGGTGGACCGCCTTCTGGATTTGAGGATAACCTGCCAGGATTGCAATTTTTTTGTTCATCTCTTTAACTGCATTATCAACATTACTCTATGCCTTAGTGATCATGGCTATAAATGGGAAATAACAACAATATTCACCTCATGGGTTATTATGAGGATTGAACATGATAATTCATGTTGAGTGCTTAGCTCCTTGTCGAGCATAGATCAAGTGCCCCCCCCCCCCCCGCAAAAGGTGGTCATTCTTGTCATTGTTGTTGTTTTTAAGTTTATTTATTTATTTTGGGAGAGAGAGGGAGAGAGATGGGAGGGACAGAGAGAGGGAGAGATGAGAGGGAGAGAGAGAGAATCCCAAGCAGGCTCTGCACTGCCTGCATAGAGGCCAAGACAGGGCTCAAATGCACGGAGCCGTGAGATTATGATCTGAGCCAAAACCAAGAGCTGGATGCTTAACTGATTGAGCCACTTGTTTTTATTACAAAAAGTTGTTTACAAGCTGATGAGATGACTAAACAAACTCTTCCATGAGCTTTAATATATTATTGCCTTCGGTCCAGTCTTTGCAATAATGACCCTGTACTGTATATATTATAATATCTTTGGACAGAGAGGTGAAGTAATTTGTCCGTGGTCACATAATCACTGAGTCCACCTTGGGTTTGCAATCAAAAGCTGAACAACCAGATAGGGTGTTAAAAATACGGGAGTAGGGAGG